TCTATCGGGTTTGGCACGAAGCGCTTCTTTCGAAACTCCCTTCCTATGGGCTTCCCGAGAAATTGTGCGATTGGATCACCAAATTTCTTGCGGATCGGGGCATCAAGGTCTTTGTAGATGGTGCAAGCTCCGATTACAAACCTATTAATGCTGATGTTCCCCAAGGCTGCGTGCTATTGCCATCGCTGTTTCTTCTGCATATCAATGATATGTTGCAAACCGGTAACATTAATTGCTATGCGGACGACAGCACTGGTGATGCTTATTCACCGGCCGTGCCAATATTTCTCGGGAAAACGTCGCTGAGCCCCGGAAAAACTTGTGTCTAAAGTAGAGACTTTGTTGTACAAAGTATCGATTTGGGGCAACTAAATCTAATCCAGTTCAATCCCCAAAAGACATATGTTTGTGCGTTTACCGCTAAGAAGAACCCCTTTGTCCTATCACCTATAGTTTCAAGGCACTCCCCTTGCTGCCTCAGCTAGCATCGGAATCCTCGGCGTTGACATATCGAATAATGTGCAACTTCGTGGTCACTTGGAAGGGAAGACCAAATTGGCCGTTAAAAAGCTTGACGTGTTCAGGAAAGCAGGACTGTATTTCATTCCGGCACACCGCTTGCAACTTTACAAGGCATAAGTTCAGCCTCACATGGAATAATATTCTCATCTCACTTCACTTTCACTTTCACTTTTACTTGACGCCATCCCTTTGCATTTAGATGTAATATCCACCACGGGGAGTGCTCTGAGAAATTGTTCGAATTAATTCCAGCCGCCAAATTTCACGAAAGCACGTCGCGTCAAAACTCACGATACCACCCACACCATCTGGATGCTTGGCTGTACACCACTGTGCTATTTACAAGCTCTCTGTGGAATTATTTACCACCGGTGATTTTTCCGGACCGATACGACTTAGGGATCTTCAGGGAAAGAGCTTACTCCTTTCTAAAAGGCCGGCAACGCACCTGAGATTCCCGTGGTGTTGCGATTGTTAATGGGCGGCCGTAGTCATTTACCTTCGGATGAGCCGCATGTATGTTTGCCCCCTCTTCTATAAAAAAGAGGAGCACCGCTTTCTTTCATGGACTCCCAGTCACCTCAGATGACCCGAGAGGTGGACCGGAATAAGCCCTTTCGCAGAAACGACTATAGGAATAATATCGGTCGGCAGACCACATTAAATGTCGATCACGTCGTGCGCCAGTTGCTTTTTCTTTCACGAGGTTCTCGTCATACGGAATGGTAATGTCGAACAAAAATATACTTGCCCGTTCCCGGTTCATTAGCACAATTTAAGGCTTATTTGCAAGAATAGTCCTGTCTGTGATGGTGGCCCGGTCTCAGTACCGGTTTTTTCACGACTTCTGGAAAAAACTTATCCGGCATATATCCGGCATATATATTATAAGGCAGTTTCCGATCCACGAGTTCGCATTTCAGACCGAGCTCCTGGTATAGAGTCCTGGCTGCTAGATTAGCTTTTTATTATTATGGTATTTACTCTTTCGGTTGCATGTACAAAAACTTGAAAAGCATAATCGATATTTTTTTTATTATTTCAAGTAAAAATGAAGCGAAAGCGAAACGCTTTCAAATAAATACATAATATGTAAAAAATAACGTGTTTGAATGCCAGTTATGCATTCAAATACATTAGTGGAATATGTGGGCATCCTTGACAAGGATTTTCTCCTCCAGGAGACATACGACGAAAAGAGCCTATTCCGTTTTTAAAAGGCCGGCAACACATCTGCAATTCCCCTGGTGTTGCAGTTGTTCATGGGCGACGGTAATCATTTACCATCAGGTGAGCCGTATGCTCGTTTGACCCCTCTACTATAAAAATAAAATAAAATAAAATACGAATGAAAGCAATAGGTATATTCAATACTTTAATGTGGGTGATGAGTTCAAAAAACTAAATAGCGTCATCGATATTATTTTTTATTATTTCAAGTAAAATGAAGCGATAGCAAAACATTGCATATAAATACATATTTGGAAAAATAATAATGTGCATTAGAATATATTTGAGGATTATTTAGGTATCCTTTACTCTACTCTTGAAGACACACGAATCAAAGCGCTTGTTGTATTCGTAAGTTTAATGTGGGTGACGAGTGAAATATTATGTTGTGTTTCGATAACATAAGCTTAGTTGCAGAGTATTGAGCAGCGATTATTGTCCATGGTATGTTTTCAATAAGTCTCTATGGCAATAAACATGAATTCCATTAATGTTGCAAGATAAAATACATAATAAATCTTCACCCACATTAAAGTAATGAAAACATCAAGTGCTTTCATTCGTGTGTCTTCAAGAGGAGAAAATTCTTGTATAGAATGCCTAAATAATCCACAAATGTATTCGAATGTCAGCAACGGTTTCATGCACATTATTGTTTTTTCCCTTTTTTTTATAAAAAGTTATATCACTGATGATTTTTATTTTTTGGTCGTCCAATTGAAGTAGTGAATACCATAATAATAAAAACTAACAATACAAATAATATTTATCAAAATTAGATCATGGAAACGATAGTAACTTTAATGCTCGTTAGCTTTTTTCAGGTCAAAAAGATCTAGTAGTAATCTTATTAATGGTATTGCTTTTACAACCGACGTCAAAAAAGGATAAAGTCCTCAATTCAAACGTATATTTTATATGTGTTATTGTTATGGTTCACCTAGAATAAAGTTCTGAGGTAACAGAACTTTATTCTGGGTGAACCGAATTTAACAATTTTATTTTCATTTTAAAGCTGGTGCTTCTCTTGCAGTGACATATAACTTTGATCAAGATCTGACCAGTAGTTTTATAGTAATTGTTAGTAATGCGTTTTTACTTGACTTCGACGAATTACATTGATAATTTTGTAATTCTACCACTTGTGTCTGTTTTAATTCGTTAATCATACATATATATATACATAAGGTCCCCTCCCCCAAGGTATGCCACAAAGCACGGTCCTGAGCCACCTGCATCCATCGACTTTCTGCATGTCTTATCAGGTCGTCATCACTCCATCTAGTGGGGGGTCGCCCTACACTTCGCCTACCGGTACGAGGCTGCCACTCCAAAACCCTTCTTACCCAACGGTTGTCGGTTCTTCGAGCTATATGGCCGGCCCATTGCCACTTCAGCTCACTAATCCGTTGGGCTATGTCGCTCACTCTGGTTCTACTGGGGATACGAGTATCCTCATTTCTAAGTTTATCACGCAGAGAAACTCCGAGCATAGCCCTCTCCATAGCTCGCTGAGCAACTTTGAGCGTCCTCATACGGCCAGCAGTGAAGGACCACGTCTCGGTTCCGAAAGTCATCACTGGCAACACGCACTGGTTGTACAACTTAGTTTTCAGATTTTAAGGTATACCTGACGAGAAGATGTGTCGTAATTTCCCGAACGCTGCCCAGCCGAGTTGAATTCTGCCATAAGGACTATATCGTCGGCAAATCGAAGGTGAGTGATGTACTCGCCATTGATGATAATACCATATCCTTTCCAGTCCAGTAGCTTGAAAACGTTAATCATACTACATGTTAATACAAGCCATATATTTTTCTTTCATCTAATATGTTTATCATTTTATATAGATTTGTAGCAAGGTCTTCTTCACAAATATTAGAAAATAACGGCGATTACCAACCTGCCTGCCACGAGTGGCAACTATGCCAAGCCCCCTTATGCGGCATCCTTTGGAGAGACCTGAGTTCTACAGAGGCTTTAATGAAAAATGAAATCTCGTGTTATCCCGAGTTTTTGACACCTTCCACATATATTGTTGTTATGTGAGTAAATTTCTGCCAATTTTGTAGGGTAGGTAAGTGTAGGGTAGCTTCGTTCTTAATATTGATATTTGGTTTCATTGTATTGTGTAAATGTATCAGTATCGATTATGCCGATGTCTTTTACATTTATTAATTCATTTATGACATCCCATTAAAAATAGACTGCTTCATATGGGTATTTAGAAATAGTAAGTTAAAAGTCGTAAGCAGATTTTAGCACTTAGGTAATTTGCGAAGGGCCTCGAGCCAAGACTGAATATTTTCATAGGACATTAGAGTTAGAGGAACATCAATAAATAATCCAATACACTATCAATATCTATCAACAAATAAATTACAAAAGTTTTTGTAATTTATTTTCATTCATTCATTCATTCCCCGGCACCAATAAAATTGTAAATAGTAATTTATAGTGCTGATTTGTTTGGCGTTGATGAAATACATCATAAGCATACCTGCATGTCTTAGAAATTAAAAATAATATTTCGAACTTCACACGTCAAATTATTTACCACGAATTGGGACAGCTTGGTGCACACTTCCTTGCCCTAAATCTAACCTAATCTTGGGAACTCAATTTAGAAGAGAAGAGGTTTTTTCGTAGATCAATTTAGCATAAGCCCAAATTAAAATATTATATTTCATTATCATCGCTACCTGTTTTAAGACCACATCTAGATGTAGGTGATAGTAGTCACGGCGAAAATGTGACTTAAACATAAATTATTATCATCATTACAGCCATGCACAAGTCCACAGCTGAACATATGCCTACTCCATGTAATGCTACTAAGTTCTGCTATCGATTTTCTGCATGCCTTGCCAGCAATAACGAAGTTCATCTACTGGGGGGGCCGCCCTACAGTCCGCTTGTCGATACAAGACTACCCGCTCTTTCTACCTACTACCTAACTACCTTTCTTCTCCCATCGGCCGTCAATTTGTCGAACTGTTTGGTAAGCCCACTTTCACTTGCGTTTACTGCCGTTTGGCTAACTACTTACCGCTGGACTACGTCACCGTCAGTACACTGGTTCTGCTGAGGATACTGGATGCGGATACGGATATTTAAACAATATGAAATAAGAATAATTATTGCTTTACAAATTTGTACTTTACTTATATTTACAGTTTAATGATAAATATATTATAATAGAATTATTAAAATGTTTTATAATGGCACAGTTAATTACTAAATTCTATTATTCTTCTACTATAGCGCTAATATTTTTTTTCCTTAAAATTTCTCTAACATGTTCGGGCAGTTCTTCTACATGAACAAGATCTTTACTTGTAGCTGGAAAAGATACGTAGTGTTCCCAGGTCTTCAAGTTCTGGTATAATGTGGCTCCAGGACATTCAGTGTCACGTACTTGCCTGTTCAAAAAAATAAATCTTTAATAAAGATAATATTAAATTTTATAAGTGAATACTTGATTTTATGGTTACCATATACGATATGTGGGGTTTAGGTTTGGTGGAGATATTTCACGTATCGTCAAAATGTTGTTTTACGAATAAAGATTAGTTCGCCCTCCTACACTGTATAAATATCTCGTACAAAAAAATTCTCACCTATGTCCTATTAATTTGTAGTCAGGTTTGATGTAGCCAAGTTCAACGCCCTGCGCAATAAGTGACTTTGCTGTTTTAATTTGCTCCATCGGTGGCAACGAATCTGAAAAAAAAATATGGATCATTTCTCGATTCATTATTCAAAAATAAAAAATAAAAACTGAAGTCTTTTATATGTAAAGTTTGCAAAATAACGCATTATAGTAATTTTATTTTAATTATATAAAAATCGAATAATTTTGTTCTATTAGTTTTTCATACCCTTTAGGTCCAAATTATTATTATATAAATATGGTCAAACAATATTATTTATTTATGTATAAATTAAATCTAACCATTACCTTGGCAAAGGTACTGGTTCTGTGCTCTCCAACCCACATGTGGACAAAACTTTCAAAACATGCATCATGTATCGCATTGCAGTAAACGTATATGGACGTTTATTTCAATAGTAGTAGATTAAACTCAATTGATTGGACCTTCTGCTGATAATAAACCCAGACAGGCACTCGTTATCTGTCTCAGCTCCGCTGGGATCATCGAATCACTGTCTGGTGAAATTCGTATCGAGCATCTCTCCTCCAGATGACTGTCCAGCGGGCGATAGGAGTCAGCTGACTGGGATGAATTGTGGCACTTTTTTGCATCACTACCGTAACAAGTGTGATTTTCTTCGGATGAACCCTCCGGCTCTGCCGATGCGGTTGCGGATGTGATACGGCAGAGAAGGGAATATTTTACTTTCGACATCCCACTTGGTCACAAGGCCCGGCCCTGGTATAATGTGGACTGTGCTCGTGCTGAGTCCCGAAAATAGTCCGCTTACCAGGCCTTGGTTCTGGTTAGAGAAGAGTAAAAAAGAAGGTGGAAATGTTAAAATATCCATAGTCACTAGATGGTTCGACTCCGTTTCTGGAAGAAGGCCGTTTAAGTTAATACCACCTTTTTGACTATTGTAGCTATAAAATGCGTCCCACTGCTATGTTTTATTTTAAAAGTATTCACTACAGTATGTGAGGTTATACATGTTAGTTTTCAGAGGTGATAACATATCTGAGGCCTTTTTTGCTCGTATTTGGCAGGTGTCTTAGAGCTGCAGTGACCGTAAAAATAAAGAAAAACAAATATTTATTATCACCATTAAATAAGCAGCCTTATGCGGTTATGTTTTTTTTTTCAATATAATTACCATGTTTTGCAGGCAGATTAGCGATCTATGTTTATACAGAATGAAATGAGGAAATACGGATAATAATGGTGGGTATAAAGAACCGCCGAAATAAACTGTGTCGTCGTTGCGAACAATCGAAATAATTGACCGACTGAGCTACCAGCCCTACCCGAAATTATTGTAATAATTTTAAAATACTAACAAACGGTTTTTTGGCATTTATAATAATTAGATAATAACAATCGTACAGCTGCCGTGAAGTGGCGGTTGAGAATATCCACTACCCCATGTCTTCCCGTGGGTGTCGTAAGAGGCGACAGAGGGAGACAGGCAGGAGATGGGCAGCAGCATCTTCCTGATAACAACAATGATATAATAAAAAATCTGCGGTTAACCAACTATGGCAAATATCCCCCCCATGAATAACGACGCAAACAAACGGCCCCCAGTCCCCGGCGGCCCCGCTATTCCTGGCTACGGTGGCGACCATGGTAACGGCGGGGCAGGGGGTGCTAAGAATCTCCGGTGGAGGTTCGGTTGCCACCTACGACGACTCGACCTGGCAACATACAACGCACGCACCCTGAGGACTGACGAGAAGATACTGGAGCTGGAAGAAAAGGTCTTAGACAAGTTGCGCTGGCATATTATTGGATTATCCGAGGTCCGAAGAGAGGGGGAGGACACGGTAATCCTCGAGTCCGGCAACTTGTTCTATCACCGGGAGGGCGACCATCTGTCCCAAGGGGGTATCGGATTTATATTAATACGGTGGCGACCATGGTAACGGCGGGGCAGGGGGTGCTAAGAATCTCCGGTGGAGGTTCGGTTGCCACCTACGACGACTCGACCTGGCAACATACAACGCACGCACCCTGAGGACTGACGAGAAGATACTGGAGCTGGAAGAAGAGGTAGACAAGTTGCTCTGGCATATTATTGGGTTATCCGAGGTCTGACGAGAGGGGGAGGACGCGGTAATCCTCGAGTCCGGCAACTTGTTCTATCACCGGGAGGGCGACCATCTGTCCCAAGGAGGTATCGGATTCATCGTCCACAAGTCTCTCGTCAATAACATTGTAAAGATTGGGAGTGTGTCTACAAGGGTCGCGTACCTGATACTCAGAATCACCTAACGGTATTCGCTGAAGGTCATACAGGTTTACGCACCAACCTCGGCACATCCCGATGAGGTGGAGGAAATGTATGAGGATATTTCCAGAGCCATGTATTCCTCCAAAACCCACTACACGGTGTTGATGGGAGACTTCAACGCAAAACTAGGCACAAGAGAAAAGGGTGAGCTGAAGTTAGGGAAATTTGTAGTAGGGTAATGGAACCGAAGGGGCCAGCAGCTGGCCGACTTTATGGAGTAAGAGGGACTCTTTATGATGAACTCTTTCTTCCAGAAGCGGCCCCACAGGAAGTAGACCTGGTCGAGCCCCGACTGTTCGACAAAAAATGAGATTGACTTCATTATGACGACCAGACGCCAACTGTTCAGTGATGTCTCAGTGATCGCAAGGGTGAAAACTGGCAGCGTTCACCGAATGGTTAGAGGCACACTGAACCTAAACGTTAAGTTGGAGAGGTCTCGTCTAATGAAGTCAACGCTCCGTCCCCCTCGTGCTCTGATCCAGAATCCCGAAACTTTTCAGCTCGAGTTACGTAACCGCTTTCAGTGCCTAGAAGATTGCAATTCAGTGGACGATATGAATGACAAGCTCGTGGAAACTGTCCATGCGGTCGGACCTAAGTTCTGCAAGGCCCGTCGCAGAAGAACACAAAAACTCTCCGATCACACTCTTAATATCATGGGTGTTAGACGGGAGATGAGGCTGCAATCGTCAACAGATTTGATAGCATACAGGCAACTGAACCTCCCGCGGCTGAAACCGGTTGGCAGGTGGTCGGGGACAAAAAGAAGGGGAAGAAAGCAGCCAAAAAGGCCAAAGAGCAGGAGCGGCAGCGCCAGTTCAGGGCGCGCAAGATCGCGGCTAGGCTCCGCGCCCCGAAGACCGCAGCTGTAGTGATTACACTACAGCCGGACGCGGAAAAGAAGGGCGTTACCTACCGCGATCTGCTCGCGAAGGTGAAGGAGGCGGTGGATCTCGGGGAGCTCGGGATCACCGGGGGCCTCCGGCTCAAAGTCACCCAGACGGGGGCCCGTATGCTGGAGGTCCCCGGGGAATCCAGTGGCGCGACCGCGGACGCTCTGGCTGCGAAGCTCAGAGCGTCTGTGGACGCGGACGAGGCCCGAGTGTCCAGGCCCGTCAGATGCGCAGACCTGCGCATCATGGGTCTGGACGACTCGGTATCGGAGGAGGAGTTAGTGGCCGCCGTCACCAGGTCCGGGGGGTGCACTACTGACCAGGTCAGGTCAGGCGCCATACGCCCGGACCAACAGGGTATGCATGCCGCCACGGTGCGCTGCCCTGTTACGGCGGCCAAAACCATAGTGAAGGGCCGAAGGCTTCTGGTGGGTTGGGTCTCAGCGCAGGTTAAGCTGCTGGAGCCCAGACCTCTGAGGTGCTATCGCTGTCTCGTGGGGCACCACGTATCAGTGAGATGCGCCTCGGAGGTTGATCGCAGTGGCCTTTGCTTCCGCTGCTGTCAGCCCCGACACATATCGGCGACCTGCTGCGCCACGCCGCACTGTGATGCATTTGCGGCGACCGGCAAGCCAGCCGATCACCGGGCCGGAAGCAAGGCCTGCGTGCCACCCGCCAAGGCCAAGGCCGCGGGTAGGGTAGGGGCCAAAGCCGCCACCGCCTCTGTGGCCTCCGCCGCAGCCGCAACTGCCACTGCCACCGCTGTCACTGTCGCCGCCGCCGCCGCCGCGACACCGACGCCCGCAGAGGGGCCCCCCGTGGAGGAAGCTGAAATGGAATGCCTATAACGACCCCATTAAGCTTCCTCCAGGCGAATATCAACCACAGCGCCTGCGCTCAGGATCTGTTGCTCCAGAGCATGGCGCAGTGGTCGATTAACATCGCTGTGGTCGCTGAGCCGTATTTTGTCTGGTCTAGGGAGGACTGGGTGGTGGACCTTAACGGCTCAGTGGCCATCATCTCTTCGGCCGCCGCCGGTACCACGACCCTTGAAGGTGTCAGGAGGGGTCAGGGGTGCGTAGCAGCACGGTTCGGAGAGTTCGTCGTTGTGGGGTTGTACTTCTCCCCGAACCGATCTCTCGCCGAGCTCCACAACTCTCTTGCAGAGCTGAGAGCAGTCGTCGTCGGAAGTTATCCCCTCCCCGTACTTGTGCTCGGGGACTTCAATGCCAAGAACTTGGCTTGGGGTTCTCGTCGTACAGATGTGCGGGGTAGGATGGTGGAAGACTGGGCTCTGGAGACAGGCCTGGTTGTCCTAAATCGGGGTTCTGTCCCCACGTGTGTGCGGATGCGGGGCGAGTCGGTGGTGGACATCTCGTTTGCTAGCCCCGCTCTGTCGCCGCATGCCATTGACTGGCGTGTCATGGAGGGGGTGAAGACCTACTCCGACCACCGGTACATCCGGTTTGATGTCTCCACCCAGCCCTCGAGCGCGCCAGTCCAACAGGCCCCGAGTGGTCCGCGTTGGGCGCTGAAGCAGCTGGACCGGGAGCTCCTCCTGGAAGCCTCGACCTGCAGGCCTGGGTGTCATCACCGGACAGGCCTGCCGACGTCAATGATGATTCAGGGTGGTTCCAGGAGGCCATGTCCGAGATATGTGACGTGGCAATGCCCTGCGTCCGGCCAGGAAGCGCCCGGCGTCAGGTGTATTGGTGGTTTGCATGAGCTGACGTCTCTGTGCGAGGCGTGTGTCACCGCGCGGCACCTGTACGCCAGGCATCGCAGGCTCCTCATTCTTCCACCGAATGCGGCAGCCATTGAGGCGGAGCTGTACAAGGGATACAGAGCGGCGAAGACCGCTCTCCGGAAGGCTGTCCTGCGGGCCCGGGATCGGGCCCGTGAGGAGATGCTGGAGACTCTCAACAGAGATCCGTAGGGGCGCCCCTACAAGACGGTGCGGGATAAACTCCGCACCTGGGCCCCCCCCCCCCCCCGCTGACGCAAAGTCTCCAGCCCCAGCTCGTGGAGGACGTGGTGAGCGCTCTGTTCCCTGCGCGGGGGGAACATCCGCCCCCGCCTATGGCTCCGCCACCTGCGGTGCCGGAAGCGGACCACCAGGAAGACGATGACGACATCCCGGAAGGGACCGGGGTAGACCTGAGAGTGGCGGTACGTAGGCTCAAGGCCAGGAATACCGCCCCAGGACCCGATGGCTTGCCTGGTAAAGCCTGGGTCCTGGCCTCGGAGGCTCTCGGGCCCCGACTGGAGGGGCTCCTAAGTGCATGCTTGGAGAGAGGCCAATTCCCGCTTCGTTGGAAGACGGGGAAGCTGGTCCTCATTCGGAAGCCGGGGCGCCCTGCGGACTCTCCGTCCGCATACCGGCCCGTGGTGCTGCTCGACGAGGTGGGCAAGCTCTTTGAAAGAGTCATTGCAAACCGCCTCGCCGAGCACCTTGCGGGGACGGACCAAGAGGCGCTCCACGGTGGACGCCATCATGCGCGTGAGAGCCCTCACGACGGGGGATGCAGTGGCCAAAGGGGGGGGGGGGTTGTATTGGCGGTGTCTCTCGACATCGCCAACGCCTTCAACTCCATGCCCTGGAGCTGCATTAGGGAGGCACTCCGGTATCACCGGGTGCCGACCTATCTCCGTCGTATAGTCGGGGACTACCTGACGGAAAGGGCCGTCATCTACCCCGGTCGCAACGGTGAGTGGAACCGGCGAGAGATGTCGTGCGGTGTCCTACAGGGTTCGGTTCTGGGGCCACCTCTGTGGAACATCGGTTACGACTGGGTGCTGCGCGCCGACCTCCCTATCGGCGACACGCTGGTACTGGCACAAGGGGGGGTCGTACGAGGCGGCGGCGGAAACTATGATACGCGGGGTTGCGATAGTCGTTGAGAGGATTCGGCAACTGGGTCTCGAGGTGGCTCTGCACAAGTCCGAGGCCATGCACTTCCATGGTCCTCGGAACAGGCCACCACCGGGATCCTCAGTGATGGTAGGAGGGGTATCCAACGGCGTCGAGTCGATGCTGAAGTACCTAGGACTCGTCCTCGACGGCCGAGGGAACTTCGTGGAGCACTGCCGACGTGTGGCTTCCAAACGGGAACGGACCGGGGCTGCCTTCAGGCGGCGCCTGGCGAACCTGGAGGGCCAAACGCCTCCTGCCGGAGGCTCTACACGGGGATCGTGCGGTCCATGGCCCTTTACGGGGCCCTGGTGTGGGCGCGTGGTTTGGCGCGGCTTGCCGTCCACCACCTGAACGCGCCCCAAAGGGTGATTGCCGTGAAAATGGTTCGCGGCTACCGCACGATCTCCCGCGAAGCGGCGAGCCTCCTTGCCGGATTGTCGCCGTGGGATCTGGAGGCGATAGTCCTCGCGCGCCTGCACGAATGGCGCACGGAGGCACTGTGCCGTGGGGAAACCCCGCTGCCGCGGCAAGTTGTCGCGCAGCGGACAGACTTCCGGCACGATCTCATGGCGACATGGAGACAGCGACTGTCGCAATCCCGTGCTGGGCACGCCACTATAGCGGCGATAAGACCCCTCTTTGAGGAGTGGCTTGAGAGACGCCACGGCATCCTCACCTTCCGCCTGACGCAGGTCCTCACCGGACACGGTGTGTTCGGGAGGTTCCTGCACCGAATCGGGCGGGAGGAATAGCCCGGGTGCTCCCACTGCGATGATGGACCGGAGGACACGGTGGAACACACCGTAGAGGTGTGCCCTGCTTGGGCGGAGCACCGCCGTGTCCTCGTAGCATCGATAGGCGGCGGCGACCTCTCGCGTCCGGCCCTGGTCGAAGCCATGGTCCGGAGCGAGACGGAATGGGATGCCGTCACCACCTTCTGCGAAGCAGTGATGCTAGCGAAGGAGGTGGCGGAGCGGGAGAAGGAGAGAGCAGCAGCTTTCCTCCCCGGCCGCCGCGGGAGACGCCCCGGGCGTCGGGGGCTACGTCGTGGCCCCCGGCCACCGTAGGCGCGGGCCTGTGGACGGCGAGCAATGGGTAGCTCGCCGTCCGTCCGTCTAACGACGACAGGCCGTGTCGACGGCGCGTTTTGTTCCACGCGTGCCTCAAAGAGCTGTCAGCAGCGTGAAGGGGCCCGCAAGGGCCGACGCCTGCCGGGGCTGCGGGCTGTTCGAAAGAGATACCGCGGCTCCGGAACGTAAGGGCACTGAAGGAACACGGATGGTTTTTAGTGAGTAAAAGTCTGACACTCCCTTACGCTCCACCCAGAGCGAAAGGCGTCATTAGATGATTTTCCATCCGCAAAAAAAAAAAAAGGTGACGTTATAACTCTTCACCGCTGCGTTGGAAGACGTTTTCAAGCTACTGGACTGGAAAGGATACGGTATTGACATCAATGGCGAGTACATCACTTACCTTCGTTTTTCCGACGATATAGTCCTTATGGCAGAATCACTGGAGGACCCTAGCACTATGCTCAATGACCTCAATGGTGTCTCCCAACGGATAGGTCTTAAGATGAACACGGACAAAACAAAGATAATGTTTAATGTCCATGTCACACCTGTGCCGGTAGATGTTGGGAGCACTATGCTCGAAGTTGTTGACGAGTACGTTTACCTGGGACAAATAGTCCGAATAGGTAAGTCCAACTTCGACCGAGAGGTCAATCGACGGATTCAACTCGGCTGGGCAGCATTCGGGAAATTACGACACATCTTCTCGTCAGGTATACCTCAATCTCTGAAAACTAAAGTGTACAACCAGTGCTTATTGCCAATGATGACTTACGGATCTGAGACGTGGTCCTTCACTGCTGGGCGTATGAGGACGCTTAAGGTTGCTCAGCGAGCTATGAAGAGGGCTATGCTCGTAGTTTCTCTGCGTGATAGACTCAAGAATGAGGATATCCGCAGTAAAACCAGAGTGACCGACATAGCCCAACGGATTATTAAACATAAGTGGCAATGGGCCGGCCATATAGCTCGAAGAACCGATAGCCGATGGGGAAGAAAGTTTCTCAAGTGGCAGCCTCGTACCGGTAGGCGTAGTGTAGGGCGACCCCCCACTAGATGGAGTGACGACCTGGTAAGACATGCAGGACGTCGATGTATGCAGGTGGCTCAGGACCGTGCTTTGTGGCATTACTTGGGGGAGGCATATGTTCAGCAGTGGACTTGTGAAGGGCTGTAATGATGATGATGATGATGATGAATCGTACAGCTTAAAGTATGTTTTGATGTAATATGGGTATTATAATAAACTTAAGGTAAAACGTAAAAGTAAATAAGTAAAAATAATTTTAACCTACGTAGAAATGAGCCTGTACAGAACGCGCGTGACGCCTACAGTGGAAATCGAACATGAAATATAAATACATATATAGGTAAAGTACTCACTTGTCCAGTCACCGATTAAGCATATTCCGATGCTAACACTATTAAAATGTAATGCATGTGCTCCTTGTATACCCCAGCCCCGACCTTCGTATGCTGCGCCGTCACTGCCCACTGCAAAACTAGAAATAAAGATTTTTTTAAACTAATTTTATTTAAATATATGTACATGTTATAGATATTGCTAAAGTTTTAAATGTAAACCAGGTTATTATACTTATGAGTTACCAACAAAATTTTAGATGGTAAGAGTTCTTCCGGGTCTGTCCAAGGGGTGTACCCTGAGTCTTGATTATTGACCAATTCCTGTTCTTAATCTGCATATATTAATTATTTACCTTACCCTGTAGGGGAAAACCACGATGTAATATTATTTGCTGATGATACATCATAAACTTTCAAACTCAAACGGCAATCATTAAATTATGACGATGTTAATAATGTTCTATTGAAATTAGTACAATGGTTTAACGCCATTAACTTTTTTGCTTTTAAACGGAAACAAAATAAAATGTATAAAATTTACAATACCCTAATATTAAACACTTGAATACTAATGTGTTCTTAAATGGGAAAGAAATTAGTCTTGTGAATACCATTGTCTTTCTTGGAATAACTATTGACGAAAAACCCAAATGGGTAATTTCGATATATGGCCCTCATATAACTAAATAAGCAACCAAACTTGCTTCTGCAGCATATGCTGAGATTGGGAGTCCAAACAATGATGAAAAGGCTCGTCGTCGAATCGTTTAGTAATTTTTATAATAATACCATAACAAAATAAATAATCTATACAAACTATGTAGTTACATGAATAAATTAATATACGCAATTACAGTTATTCACAATTTACCTAAGTACATGTGAGCAGGTAAGATGAGAGTGATACATTTTAATGACAGTTTATAGTTGGAACCGGGCCAAAAACCGCAAGATCGCCATGACATAATCGCCAGAGTATTTCAGCAAAAACTCAAGGTTATGATGGATGTGCTTACTAAGTATCGAGTTTTTGGTGACACACGTTGTTATATGTACTCGGTGGAATGGCAGAAGCGTGGACTACCGCATGCTCATATCCTAATTTGGTTGCTGAACAAATTACATTCAAATGAAGTGGATGACATCATATCAGCTGAAATTCCTGATCCAGTCACTGATCCCCATCTACACGACATTGTAACGACACAGATGGTACATGGACCGTGCGGTGCATTAAATCCATTATCGCCTTGCATGGCTGATGGAAAGTGCACAAAACGATATCCGCGACCTTTAGTTGCTGAAACAGTCAACGATGGATATACAGTTTATCGTCGGCGTTCAAAAGAAGATAATGGTCGAACTATCAAAGTTAAAGTTCAAAATCAAGAGATTGAGATCGGAAATGAATTCATTGTACCATATTGCCCGCTGCTATCACGAATTTTCAAAACACATGCAAACGTTGAGAGTTATCATTCGGCCAAATCAATCAAATATTTGTGCAAGTACGTCACAAAAGGCAGCGACATGGCTGTGTTTGGTATTGCGTCGGAAAATGTGAATGACGAAATCAGCAACTTCCAAATGGACAGATACGTCAGTACTAATGAAGTACTGTGGCGATTATTGTCATTTCAAATTCATGAAAGGTATCCCACAGTTGCACATTTAGCAGTGTTTTTGGAAAATGGCCAAAGAGTTTACTTCACTGAGGCTAACGCGGCACAACGAGCTGAGAGACCACCATCGACAACATTGACTAGCTTCTTTGCAATGTGTGAAGCAGATCCATTCGCAGCGATGCTGATGTACGTTGAAATGCCCAAGTATTACACTTGGAATCAATCAACAAAGAAATTCCAACGTCGCAAACAAGGAACCCCAGTTCCAGATTGGCCACAGGTTTTTTCCACTGATGCACTAGGTCGCATGTATACTGTTCATCCTAGAAATGATGAATGTTTTGATTTGCGACTGCTGTTGGTAAATGTACGTGGACCAAAATTATTTGCGCATTTGTGACAAACTGTGGCCACCAATGCCAAACATATCGAGAAGCATGTCAACTATTGGGTTTGCTGGAGAATGATTCTCATTGGGGTTTAACATTTGCGGATTCAGTTGTTTCATCAAATGCGTACCAAATACGAACGCTGTTCGCAATTATCATCACCACATGTTTTCCTTCACAACCAATTCAGTTATGGAACAAATACAAAGACGACATATGTGAAGATATCTTGCATCGCTTGCGCATTCAAACGAATAATCCTGACATCCAAATAACCGATGAAATCTACAATGAAGAATTGATTCTGATTGAGGATTAATGCTTGACTATTGCAAACAAGCTACTGATTGAAGTAGGAATGATTGCGCCAAATCGATCGATGCACGATGCATTCAACCAAGAATTAAATCGAGAGCTGCAATACAATGTTGATACATTGCAGGAATTCGTTCGAAATAATGTGCCGTTGCTGAATGAACAGCAAAAACAAGTATACGAAACATTAATGCAAGCGGTGGACAATAATACTGGTGGTCTATTCTTCCTGGACGCACCTGGAGGAGCAGGGAAAACATTTGCCATTTCATTGATTCTGGCCACTATTCGATCAAGATGTGACATAGCTTTGGCGTTAGCATCATCTGGAATTGCGGCGACTCTTCTAGATGGCGGTCGTACTGCATATTCTGCGCTTAAGTTGCCACTCAATTTAAACACAATTGATACTCCAACATGCAATATTTCCCGATCCAGTGCAATGGGAAAATCGTTGATGCAATGCAAGCTCATTGTTTCGGATGAGTGCACAATGGCACATAAGAAATCACTTGAAGCACTTAACTTCACACTGAAGGATCTTCGGCGAAATAACAATATCTTTGGCGGCTTGATGATATTGTTGGCAGGCGATTTCAGGCAGACGTTGCCAGTAATTCCACGTGGAACGCCTGCAGATGAATTGAATGCTTGGCTGAAGGCATCACCTTTATGGAATAACGTAAAAACATTATCGCTAACCACTAATATGAGAGTTCAACTTCAAAATGATCAAAGTGCTGCACTATTTTCCAAACAATTGTTAGCTTTTGGAAATGGAAAAGTCCCAGTTGATGCGACATCTGGATTAATTACTCTTACCAACGACTTTTGCCGATTTGTAGACTCTCAATTAGCTCTTATTGAAAATGTTTTCCCAAACATTAGTGAGAATTATCAGAATTATGCTTGGTTAAGTCAGCGAGCAATTCTTGCCGCAAAGAATAATGATGTACATGCACTGAATTTCACCATTCAATCAAAAATTTCTGGCGATTTGGTGACATACAAATCCGTTGATTCCATAACAAATCCCGATGATGTAGTAAATTATCCATCGGAGTTTTTGAACTCTCTGAAGTTACCAGGATTTCCACCACATAACTTGCAACTCAAAGTTGGTACAGTTATTATGATATTGCGTAATTTGAATCCACCGCGACTTTGCAACGGTACTCGACTTTCGGTAAAAAACTTATGCCGAATTTGATTGAGGCAACCATTATTAACGGAAAGTACGCAGGTGAAAATGTATGTATTCCTCTAATACCAATGATTCCGACTGATCTTCCGTTTGACTTCAAACGATTGCAATTTCCAGTTCGCCTGGCGTTTGCAATGACAATTAACAAGTCGCAAGGCCAATCTAGCATTAAGCGAGATGTTTGCGGGATAAATTTAGAAAATCATTGTTTTTTTGTTTGGGCAGTTATACGTTGCGTGTTCACGAGTTGGGAAACCATCCGCTTTGTTTGTGTTAACGTCAGACCAAAAAACAAAAAATGTGGTTTACCAAAGAGCACTTCAATGAAACGGATAATTTGCGGACACGTATAACGCTTCGATTCAGTATTTACTTTGGATTCACTTTCATTCACTTAGAGAAGTTCAACTAAATAACACTTCATTTTTGTAATCGAAAAGAATTCATTACTGTTGTGAAATGAAATAAAATTTTTCCTTTTCAAATATAAAACAAAAAAAAATTCTTCTTCTTTTAATCACCAAACGAAATGTTACATAAAACGAAGCCATCTAGTGGCGAAACGAAGTTCGCTGGGTTTGCTAGTAACCTGTATTGTTTTTATCACTAATTTAAATTTGAATCTTTCAAACAAAGCAAAATATTAGAAAATAACCAGTATCAACTTTTTGTACCTGACGTCGTTTCAATGATATAACGCTATGTACATTACCGTAGTGTTTGGATGATTAAAATTAATTATTATGAGAATAATCGGCAAAAATATTCCAATAAACGGTAAAAATATTCAAATAATCGAATAATTACTTTTTTAATGTATTATTTGTTTAGTTTCATTTTTATTTTTAAAATTCCTTTAATTACATGAATCACGAATAAAATAAGTTTATATTTTTCAATTTGTCAACGTAAATTTGTGTAGGCAAAAAAACTCATATATAAGGCCGCGATATAAAAACCACTACGTAATTTCAATATCCCGCCATTCCTGGAGCTTACTGTGCGTAATTTTGTGATTTTGTGTTCGTCTTCTTATTTTGTGACTCGGCTTTAACTTTTTGGACTGTTTCTTCAATATTCGTTGAAGCGTGTGCTCATTTCACAAAGAATCATTGGGCAAAAGTGGTAGAAAAAACAAAAAAAACCTTATTATTGATGACTTTGACTTTGAAAGAGACATTAATTTTGACTGCATTATTGAAAATCAAACAACGATAGCTCAACTAGTTGTACTGAAAGTGATTGAATAAATTTATTTTTAATTTAGTTATAATCTTAACTGACCGAGAGGTCAATCGACGGATTCAACTCGGCTAGGCGTTCGGGAAATTACGACACATCTTCTCGTCAGGTGTACCTCAAAATCTGAAAACTAAGTTGTACAACCAGTGGGTGTTGCCAGCGATGACATACGGAACTGAGAAGTGGTCCTTCACTGCCGGCCGTATGAGGACTCTCAAAGTCGCTCAGCGAGCTATGGAGAGGGCTATGCTCGGGGTTTCTCTGCGTGATTAACTTAGAATTGAGGATATCCGCATTAGAACCAAAGTGACCGACAAAGCCCAATGGATTAGTAATCTGTAGTGACAATGGACCGGCCATTTAGCTCGAAGAACCGATAATCTTTGGGGAAAAAAGGTTCTCGAGTGGCAGACTCGCACCGGTAGGCGAAGTGTAGGGAGAGCCACTACTAGATGGAGTGACGACCTGGTAAGACATGCAGGAAATCGATGGATGCAGGTGGCTCAGGAACGTGCTTTGTAGCATACCTTGGGGGAGGCCTATGTTCAGCAGTCGACTTGTAAAGGGCTGTAATGATGATGATGATGATGATATAATCCTAAATTTTTAAAACTGTGCCTCTAGAAATAAGCAGTACCTAACAAAAAATACGTAGAAACTGATAAATCTTATGTTTTAAATTATACTCTAAATAATGGATATCGATTTTTTTAACAATCGATTATTGTACGTTCGCATTTTTTGATTGGCATGCCTGGTGCAATAATTCTGACAGCTGTCAAAATGTATTTCTTAGATTTGGTTGACTATAATACTGATGCGTCACAGTCCTTTAATTATACCCTACAAATCGGAACATCGCAGTGTACGGACGCCTGCTTAGGAACTTTATATAGTAGCCCTATTACTTTTAGCTTCTTCTTCATCGTCATGAGTCTGTAAATGTCTACTGGTGGACATGAAACTGTCTCGATGTAGGAAGAATTTGCCTTAATCGTCACGATTAGCTGGATTGTCGATCGTAATGCCAGACAAATCGCATCATCGAATCAAGAAAGTCACTCACACGTGATACACATCAACTCTTCTGTTTAAAGTCGTGTATAGTACATTCTTTAAGGCCCATGTACAGATTAATTTTATCTTAATTAAGTTATTAGTTGTGTATGGGTTTTTTAAGTATATATTAGCAATTAATAGATAATTTCATCATTAAAGATGTTCAGAGTTTCTTTGCAACTACCCGCTTAATAAAAAAAAGTTATGTGTCTTACCTAGTTTGAGGAGCACCTCCCGCCCTCCCTCAATTACCTGCACTAATCGCGTCAAGTAACGTCTGTCAGGCAAAGTAACGCCTGACTCATTTCATCATTATTTTCATCGCAGCTCATCAAAAGTCCGCTGCTGTACATAGGCCTCCTCCATAGATTGCCCCATAGGGAGGATTTTACCATAGTTGCCACGCTGGGTAAGCAGGTTGGCAACCGCAGTTTTTTATTAATTTCAGTTTTAATCAGGAAGATGCTACTGCCCATCCCCTGCTTTAGTTATTCTCTATCGCCTCATAAAAAACTTACGTGATGATATGGGGTAGTGGATGTACTTACGTCACTACTATACAGCAGTATGTTTGAGTCAAGTCAGCCAGCAGCACGTAGGGCGCGAGCGGCAGGCCTCCGATACACTTAAAATTACTAATATTACAGTTTAACCACCCTAGTAAGCTATAAATGCTTAGAAGTGATTCATAACAATAGTCGCTCGAATGGTGATATTATCTTTCGTAATAACTTACTTGTATCCTATATCCCACCATCCTCTGCTGTCCATATGAAAGTCTTGCATACTGCGCATAGCATTCTCGCACTGCGCTGCTTCATAGCAGGCGGGAGGAGAATACGAATGGTGGATCACGACATATGGCACAGGAGTTTGCAGCGCCTGCTTCTGTTTTGGCGTTCTCGCTCTCCATTCTGACCTCGCCACGAATGGGAAGTTGTGGGTTATTACTTCGTTTTCCGGTGGCTCTAGAAATAATTAATAAAAGTTATTTATAGCAATCGTGATTTAAAATGTTTATATTTATAAAATTTTGAGCGTTTACTTTAAGTTTTAAATTTTTAGATATCGTTCGACATGAGGTCAATAAAGTTCAACTCTAGTAATCATACAAAAATGGTCGTTATGTATGTGTACGTACACGTATACGTTTATATGTTGATGCATTAGTAAACTTTTTCGTCTTGTTTATTATCTTAAAAAATGAGGATATTATCGTCTTCAAACTAATTCGATTTAACGCTTAATTGCTTCCAAAATCAATTCGGTAATTTTAAATAAAAAAATTGAATAACTGGTGATTAGTTATTCAATTTATTATTTTAAAATCCAATCAACCAAACATGCAACTAAATTAAGCACTTCGACCTTACCTCCGACAGTGTTCAATCAATCATCAGTGATCAATAATCAATTGATTTTTTGGTCTTTTGTGAGTATTATGAGTATTTATTAAAGCTCTTTTATTTTTATTTATACTACACGTTCATATACCTAAAATAAAGTCAAATAAACTAATCACAGGTTGTATAATATTGCAAAATAAACACTGGTTTGTATACGAAGTAAAAACCGTATTAAACCTTAAAAATTTGAAATAATTTGTAATAATTGTAAAGTTCTGTCATCATCATCATCATCATACAGCCCTTCACAAGTCCACTGCTGAACATAGGCCTCCCCCAAATAATGCCACAAAGCACGGTCTTGAGCCACCTGCATCCATCGACTTTCCGCATATCTTACCAGGTGGTCAAAATTAAATATGTATTATATAATAGTATATTATATAATAAATTAAACGTGTACCTACCAGGTAATATTGCTGGTATACCAAAAGTGATGCCAAATATCGCCAAAAACACGAGCGCAATTAAGAACATTGTGATAAACTCCAGTTTGTCTACTGAAAAAAAAAAACCACATTCAATCAGCCAGGATGTGTTTTTGTTGCTAAGTTTATAAGAAATTGAATCATTTGAATTTTTCTGTCTTGATATCAATTAATGAGCTAGCTATTGTCATCTGAAGCATAAACTAGCATTGACCTACATACAAGTTACATCATAAATATGACTTTGTTTTTATTTTTTGTCCAATGTGTCTTTAGATTTATAAAAAAAAAAACAAAATTATAAAATCTAAAAGTATAAAAGGGGCTTGAAAATAAAAATCTCTGATATAGATTACATAAGTTTTGACACAGGTATATGACAAGCATTTTATGTAGAAATATTTTTCTTTTTACTTATTATATTAAGGCAGTATTAAAAATAAAAATTCTAGCTGCCGCGTAATATGTATAGGGAATCAAATCCCTATAAATTCTGTGAGGGCTTATGAGAGGGAAATTTAGCGCTAACTCGTGAGAGGACTTGTACTTAAATTTCATTTTATTAAATATTCTAGCATTATATTCCTTCACCGCATTAAAACAGAACTTGGAGTTTCAATCAACAGTATAGTCTAGAGTTGCTTAAATCATTAGGAATAAAATCTAAATAATTAAAACTTCAAAGACGAGTTAAAGCGGTAAATATTGCCGTAGATTATAATATAGCATAGAATAAAATCTCATTAGAATAAAATATCCTAACATTAGTTTTTTAAGGAATGTATATTATTCAACGTAATAAATACTTATGTATGGGAAAATAATATCATCTGAGAGAAGTGATACAAAATAATGAATAACTAAATTGTCTAAAACATACCTTTTGAATTCAGTTTTTTACTTTCACACACGGAAAAAACCTCACATAATTTTTGTAGAAAATTATTAAACAAAATGTATTGCGTTTAATACTCACATTTATATCTTAGTTAAATAAAACTTTTCTTCAAGTCACACCACTATAGAAAGATAAAATTTATCAGTACTACTCAAATATATGCATTAAATTAACTCACTAAATTATATAACAACGGAGTTAATATATTCAAGAATAATTATAATCATGCAAATCCTTTTAAATTTTTCCACTTATCAATAGAACATATCAATAATCAATAACACTATAAATGTTCTAATTACTGTCTCGCACAACACAGTTGTAATAACTTTAAACACTATTTAGCAATAAAATTACTGCGATAATAAAACATTCTTTGGCAGCTGTCGAGTCGGAACTATAGAAAATGGTTTCCTCGTACACTTGATATATATTAGCGTCTATAGGTAGATGTTGGTTAAGACGAGGTTATTCCCCGGTCGAAGTAGAATCGATTGAGGCAGAAATGGTACTAGTATTAAAGAACTCAGCTATAATCGACATTGATTTTTTTTAATACGTTACCGCCACATTAGGATTTTCTCCTGTACCGTGGAGGCAGTTTACATATATAAATTGCACAAGGACAAACTCGGAAAAATTACTTGTAGGCCATACAAATTCTTGTTTCGTGCGGGATTCGAACCCGTGGCCCTCAGCGATATAACTCATTGCTAAGCTACTGCGCCACGTAGCCGTCAAATTTAGTATATATGATATTCTAGGATTCCTTAGATATTCTTAAGTCTTTTAACTACCAATTCAGTATTATATTTGTAGTTTGAAAAATTAATTTGGCGCTTTTATATAGTAATATTTAAACCAGTTCAATATGTGTCAATATGTAACAGACAGTACGACGCTAGCCCTGTGGAGGCTATTATGGATAGAGTTGTGTCCACCTCTAATAGGATAGGATATTTGTAGTTATATTTTCTATATTATATATAACTTGAGCACATGATTAGTAAATTTGGACGGTATTAGATTAAGTAATCCTTCGTGGCTAGTTCATTGTACATATTCCTCATTTCCGTTATTATTGCAATTGTTAGCGCTTAAAAAATAAAACTTCAAAATAAAAATGCTGATAATATGAATAAAGGTGGGTGGGGTAATCACTAAAAGGGGGTATATTCCGATTTACGTTAATTTCTAACAAATGCAGCGACATGTATTTATTAGCAACATATTATTAGACGCCATCTTAATCACCCATCGTCCCTCTAGTTGACGTTAGTCGTTAAAGCTGGCCAGCCATGAATACTGTCAGGTTTTCTTATACTGGGGCTACACTAACGGGAAACGTCAATGCTTATAAACGCAACAATTATTGCTTTAAATTTAACGCGATAAAGTGAGGGGCTACCCTTGAACGGTCAACGTGATTTCAATTTCAATGCCATTGAACGGCGTTAAAGTTGGCGTAATGTTCCTTGAAGACTTTTTATGTTTGTTTAAATGGGTTCTATAAAAACCCATTAGGCTTTCCTTCTTCTTTTTAATTTCTTCGATGGTTGTTTGAAAAAGTAAATAATTGCATAATTCGTCGCAAAAAATCATTTTGCGATGTACAATCCTTAAAACTTTTAAGTCTCGGATTCCACAAACATGACGCTGTTTTGCAGAATCTCAAGAAACGTTTTAACTTTTTCATTATTCCGCTCCGTAATAGCCGTGCGCCCCGTTGCGCTCACCGTCCACATTGAGACAAACGTGGTATGGCCGCTTCAACGCGTTATTTCATACGTTAATCTCTGTGATGTACCGCCACTCGAGTTATCGCCAAACGGCAAACGGCATTGTTAATGCCGTTTTCAAATTCAAAGTCTATCAATGCAACAATTATGCGTGGCGACGTTTGTACGTGGTAGAGCCATGCTGCAGTTATATTAGTAGTATAGTTGTAGCACGAATGGGTCGACTCGACTGGGGAAGGACCACGCTCTCACAGAATACCAGCGTTAAATAGTAGCTTAATGCTGCTGTGTTTCGTATGGTGAGTGTAGAGAACCGGAGACCCTTTTTACTGGAAAAGAGGTATTCCATCTTAGTCCTCAAGGGTGACAACGCATCTGCATTTTGATTTGTACTCGAGGATATATTATGTAGATGTCTATGGACCGCAGCAACCACTTACCATGAGGTGGAGTGTGTGCTCATTTGTCACCCTATCCTATAAAAAAAATTACGAAATTTCTTGTTGGTGTGGCTCCAGCATGAGAAGAGATTTTTTGTTGTCCAATTTTTGTAACCGAATAAATCGAAATGACACCATATACTTTTTCTCAGTAACCTGGTAAGTTAAATGAAATATAAATAATTTTTGACATACATAGGTAATGGTTTATGTTCAAATATTAAGCTATATAATACGTCGTAACTTCCTTTCTAACAATTATTGATTTGGAATAACCCCTATTCCCTAATGGAAAACCTTGAAATCTCCTTAAGATGTGATTTATAACCAATAATTGATATGATTTATAGAAATATAAACTTATTTTCTGAATGTCTACATATATGTTTTACTGTAGTTTCTACTTTTTTATAGAAAAAGAGTGATAAACGAGCACACAGTCCCCCTGATGGTAAATAGTTGCTGTAGCCCATAAACATCTGCATTTATCCTCAATTAAGAATCAAAATGCAGATGCGTTCTCATCCCTGAGGACTGAGATGGAATGACTCATTTCCAATAAAAAGGCTATCCAGTTCGTAGAGAACTAGACTAGCCATACTAAACTAGCCATACGAAACACAGCAGCATTAAGCTGCTAATTTAGTCTGGTAACCTGTGAGAGCGTGGTACTACCCCTGTCGAGCCGACCCATTCGTAATACAATCATAATATAACTGCAGCATAGCTCTATCACGTAAAATACTTTATATTATAAAATGAAAACATTGCAGGGACCTCCCGTTACGTTAGCAAATAGTGAGAACCTCATTTTCTTTGTGGGTTATTTCAAAGCAATATATCATAAAATGAATACCTACGTTCTAACCAATATTTTCAAAGTAACTTGGGATAGGGATAATTTCAAATGAAAATAAAATATAAGCCTTAATCCTAATTGTAATAAAACAATTTTTGGAAGCAATCGGAATTACCTGAGGATATTTCCCAATACCTCCTATAAGAAAAATAACAGTCAAGTTTTAAAACTCGTAATTGCAAAAAATCTACGTGGTACAGCGACGCTGCAGTTATATTAGTAGTATAGTTGTAGCACGAATGGGTCAGCTCGATCGGGGAAGGACCACGCTTTCACTTCTGTGAAAGCTTAAAATGCTACCAGCGTAAAATGGTAGCTTAATGCTGCTGTGTTTCGTGTGGTGAGTGTAGAGAACCGGAGACCCTTTTTACTGGAAACGATGCCTTCCATTTTAGTCCTCACGGGTGACAACGCATATACATTATGATTCGTAATCGAGGATAGATGTAGATATCTACGGGCCACAGCAACCACTTACCATCAGGTGGACTGTGTGCTCGTTTGTCACCCTATCCTAAAAAAACTAAGCATGTTATCCGGTACGTCTTTACATAAATAGCAATAACATTTACTCAAGTAAACACTGGTAATATAATTTAATTGCTAACTTAAACTTACTTCAAGTAATTTATCAAAATGTACAAACCCCGTCATATCTTCGAATTTTCTGTCGATACTACCCATATGGTTTTATATTAATATACATTTGAATTTGTTATTCTTTTAATTCAAAAACATTAATAACATTACTAAAAACTAGTTCATACTAACTCTTCCCTACAGAAATTATATAGATAATTAGAGTAGGTATTTTATATAAAAGTAAATTAAGGCCAAACTTCAAACCAAATAAACCAGATTCCATGTGAAGTCGCGGGCACAGCTAGTATTTATACACTTCAAAATTCATCCAAATTTTTATGATTATTATAATATAAATTTGGATGAATTTTCCCATTGCATGGGAATAGCCTTTCCCCGCGGTTTTGCACGCGACCATGTTAATTGAAGTCTTTGTCGGTAATCCGCAAAACGGAGCACTAATTCACTTCGATGTTTGTCTGTGTTTGTCTCCCGTTGCGCGTTAGCGTTCTTCGTTCTTTGTGTTGTATT